CTGATGGGCTCTATATTTTTCAGCATACTTCTCCACAGTGTGTTATGTTGCATACAGGCAAAGGAATCTCATGGCTCTTGGACATTGGTTTAGCTTCATGGTTACCCAAATTTCTAATGCCCAGGGGAGCTAAGAAGTAGATTCCAATGAAAGAACTTCACAGAGATGGGAAATCATGTCAGGAGAAATCAGAACATAAACTTACTGTGGCATATCACTGTCTTACAAAACCTTGAAAAATATTGACTATTTTTTGCATCTATATACAGGCTGAAAACTGCTTTGCATTTTTACTCCAATTCTCTAGATTAGTCATAGTGAGCATGCTAAGGGCAACCTCTATAAGGTCAAAAGTCAGAAAACATCCATAATCCGGTGCTCCTAAGACAAATTTTAAATGTATGATAGGAGACAGGTAGAGGGAAACACACGCAGTGGAGGGATTCTTATCTTCTTCCTCACTCTAGTGGATCTCAACTTGTTTGTTTGCAGAAATTTTAAAGATTAAATATTTGCTTGCACACTTGAAAAGATTTTACAACATAGCCAATAAAAAAACAAGTTAACAATAAGTAAAATTCAATCACTACTTAAATATAAAAGAGACCCAATGTGTCTGCAAAAATATTCACTGTCATTGCTATACCCACATGGTTCCTGTCATCTTTATGTCACTGTTTTGGGAAGAACTGGTATATAAGTTAGGATTAGATTAAAACTGTAAAAGACAGAAAAACACAAAATAACAGGAGCTTAAACAAGATAGGAGTTTACTTCTCTCACAGGTTAAGAACCACGGGCTGTCCAAGGCTCATGTGCTGGCTCCATGATGCACAGAAACCTGGGATCCTTCCATCTGATTCATCTCATCTCATGGTCCAAACTCCAGCCAGAAAGAAGAAGAAGAAGGGAACACTCATCCCTTTAAAGACACTCCACTTACATATCTCTAGCCAGAATGTAGTCACATGGCTATCCCAGGTTGTAAGGGAAGCTGGGAAATGAAGCCTTTATTGAAGGTGGACATTGGCCCAGTAAAAAATACAGGGCTTTGTTATGACAAAGGCTAACATGAAAATGACAGGGCTAACAAAGAAAAGGAAAAGGATACTGGAGATACCAGTAGTCTCTGCTACAACTGGTTACTGCCCTGATCACATGTCTTAGGTAATTAAGAGGCACATTTAATACCTGTTCCAGTACCTACCTCACTGTCATATGACATTGCACTATACCCTTTAGCTTTTACTTAATCATGTTTAGCCCTGCCATACATTGGAACACGTGAATAGCTTAGCTGAGCATCCTTGGTGACATTTCTCACAGTAACAGTATAGATACTGTGGGAGATCAAGATTTGGCCACCCTGAAATATATCTCTTTACCTTGATTGTTTTCTCTGAGGGACATTTGACCTCCCCCACTAACTGCCTAAAGAATTTGACATGGTGGCTCCTTCCTGGAACAGATCTTCTATCATGATGGCTGTAATGATGATGTAAAATAGATGTTACAATGGGAGGGGCACCAAGCCCCTTTTGTCAAAAAACTCTATCTCTCCCTGACCACATTATCTATAGATGACCCTAAAAAGAATTGTCTTCTTGTCCTCTGAAGTCCCAGACCACTACCCACCCCCAACACCTTCCTTGCCTTTAGCTACAATACTTAAGCAAGCAGCTTAGACAGAGAGACGAGTTGCTCGTTTCTGAGTTTCTCCAATGTATACATGTTATTAAACTTGGTATTATTTTCTCCTGCTAACCTGTCTTGTTAATTATTTGGCCAGCCATAAGAACCTTAAGGGAAGGGGCAGAGGGGGATTCTCCCTCTTCCCCCAACAATACCTAATAAATAAAAAATAAATGGTGATGAAATGTTCCGAATTTCGTGGTGTACTTTGAATGATTTTATGGCACAGTGAGTAAGTACTCCTACTTTGCACATTTCAAGTGTAAAGATGATTAGCTGTTTCCTCTGGCTCTCATTTACTGAATCTTCAGGGTAAAGTGATCCTTCTTTTTTACAATCAACAAATGTTTTTTGAGCACCACACACTTGAAAGTCTCTAGGCGAGGTGCTAGAGAGTATATGTATTTCATTAAGACATCTTCCCTGTTAATCAAGGAGCTTATAATTTCCTGGATGGAAGTACATATGGATAACACAACTCTGTGAGGTTCCCTAAAGACAAGTACAAAAATGTCCCATCATGAATAAGAGAACTGTTGCGTTGAGTTGTGAGAGACTAGGAATGAAGATGAGTTAAAGAGGGAAGAATTTAAGCTTGTCCTTAGAAAGAAAAGACTAATTTGCAGATGGAGATGGGGTTGCTTTCTTGAAGTCTCCTGTGTTTTAATCTGTCCTGTAATTTATAACAACTACCTCATATTATTTGCTCGTGGTGACTTAAGTGGGAAATGTGTGTAGAATGTAATCATTTTTCTTTCTTTGCTTCTAGGTATCGATTCATTGGCTCCACATCGGCTGCTTGTCTCCTCTCAGGCAATCATGTCACTTGGGATAAGGAGGCACCTCTTTGTAAGAGTGAGTTGAAATACTTTTCCCCATAATTCCCACCATTTGATCCATATTTGCCCCTGGAGTTACAAAGAAATCCAATCCATTTCACACCGAGTTGTCTCTCAGATATTTGAAAACTGGAGTCATGTGGCATGGTTCTTCTGGTGTTTCTCTATTTTAGGAGGTAATTTATCTGAAACTGTGGACTTGAACTCAGATACAATTGCCCTACTTTCCTGTTTTGATAGTAAACTCTTTCCAGTATAAAGATCATTCTCCTAGTGACTAAACTTAAAAGACATTAGAGAAAATTAAATTTGTCTCTGCCACCTTTTAATAGTACATTATAATTCCAGGAAGTAGATTGCTCCTTCCTTATTATTCTTACTCTGAATAATGAAAGATCTTATTATTCTCAGCAATTCCGCCAAGCCTCTGGTCATTCTGCATTTTATTCTTTCATCAAATTCTTCCAGGATCATGCCCTAGTTGTATTTGTTCTTCATTCGTTGACCGTCCATCTCGTCAATGGGATATTATAAAGTGAACCTCAAAACATTGAGGAACATGGAAGAATGACTGATTACAAAGTGGTAAAGTCTTAAAGCTCTGAAGAAATCAGTATCACACACAGAGTTGATGCCAGTAAAACTGGACAGAAACTTCTGGAAGACTAATGAGCAATATACACCAAAGCCTTAATGCAAATACCCTTTGACCTAGCAATTCCATTTCCCAGAATTTATCCCAAGAAAATAATCATGGAATTTTCCCATGACTTTGGTCCAAAGACACACAATGCAACAATACTGATGACAGTGGAAAATGTTAAAAATTGGAATGTTCAGCATGGTTTGAAAATAACTAATGGAAGAAATAAGGCTAATTAAAAAAATGTTGGGGGTGAGAAAGGGAGATTAAAAAAAATGGGTATGAAGAGTATTCTTGACAATTAAATTGTTAAGAATAGTTATTTTGGGACCACTATCATTTTCTTCTTTATATTTGTCCATATTTTATCAATTTCCTACAATGAATGTGCTCGTTATAGTCACAAGTATTCACCAAAAGAAACTAACATTGGCTTTTAAAGATTCAAAGAAATGAATGAGAAGCCCTAAAGGTGCCTCCTTTCCCTGCCAAAAATTTAAAATTCCCTGAAAAAATTCAAATTAGCAAGGTATTATCAGTTTACTGTAAAAATTTTTCTAGGTCTGGCACCTTCTTTAGAGGTTAATCTTCAATTTAAAATGTTTCCACTACTCTATAGGTCAATCAACATTTAACCAAGTCAATCTTGGTTATATATGTTTATGTGAATGTGTGTGTAATCAATTATACCAATATTTTAAATTTATTATGTAATGATAGAACATAGTTTTCGTTTATAATTTTATTACACCTAGATCTATGATTATTTAATTTCTCATGCTTTATCTTTTATATTTTTCTTTTCTCTATTTTTCTTGATGAGTAGTGCCAGAGGTGGTGTAATTAACCTGCAAAGATATTATTAAATGATCAATAAAAATCAAAGAAAAATAGCCCAGCAGTGAATAAATAACTTAACAATCTATGATAAAATCACATAGATTATCCACTTAACATCACAAATATGTAATCCATAGTAAGACATGGATATTTTTACACAAAATAATTATTATGGACAGAACCCCCATATCACACACACCTAAATTTCAACTATGTAGACAACATGTCTGATTACTAGCAAATATTGGAAGAAAATAACAGTATTGTAATTAGTTATAGTTTAGGAAGTCATTTGATTCTCTGTTATTTAAATTCATAGTAAAATAATTCACAGTAAAAAAAAATAATTCTGGAAAAGGCAAAACTATGGAGACAGTAAAAACATCAGCAGTTGCCAGGGGTTGGGATGGGGCGTGGGGTTACTAGGCGGAGGACTGAGGATTTTTGGGGCAGTGAAAATACTCTGTGTGATACCATAATGTTGGATACATATCATATATTTGTCCAAACCCACAGAAGGTGCAACACCAAGAGTGAACCCTAATGTAAACTATGTTCTTGGGTGATTATGATGTGTTAATATAGGTTCATCAGTTGTAACAAACGTACCACTCTGGTTGGGGATGTTGATAATGGGGGAGGCTATGCAGGTGTAGGGGCCAGAGGATATGGCCTATCTCTGTGCCTTCTCCTCAATTTTTCTCTGAACCTAAAACAGCTCTAAAAATTAAATTGCTGGGGCTGGCCCTGTGGCCTAGTGGTTAAATTCAAGCACTCCACTTCGGTGGTCCAGGTTCGGTTCCCAGGCGTGAACCTAAACCACTCGTCAGAAGCCATGAGGTGGTGGCGACCCATGTACAAAATAAAGGAAGATTGTCACAGATATTAGCTCAGGGCAAATCTTCCCCAGCAAAAAAAAAAAAAAAAAAAAAGGCTTAAAAAAATTAAAGGCTAAGCTGTTGTTACCACACTTTCCCTTACTCCAGGTGTATCTTGTGAGCCTCCCCCAGCCATATCCAATGGAGACTACTACAGCAGCAATAGAAATGCTTTTCAATATGCAACAGTGGTCACTTATCGGTGTCTCACTGGGCCAGATGGAGAAAAGCTGTTTGACCTTGTGGGACAACAGTCAATATTCTGTACCAGCAAAGATGATCAACCTGGTGTTTGGAGCAGCCCTCCTCTCAGTGTATTTCTGCTAATAAATGCACAACTCCAGAAGTTGAAAATGCAATTAGACTACCCGGAAATACGAGTTGATTTTCCTTAAGTGAGATGTGAGATTTAGATGTCAGCCTGGCTTTGTCATGAAAGGGCCCCACACTCTGCAGTGCTGGGCTAACAACACATGGGTGCCTGAGCTGCCAAGCTGCTCCAGGGGTGAGTCTCATCATTGAGACTCTGCTGGGGACGTGTAGGGGAGTGTAAATGATAAGAGTTGTTGAAATTAAGGAAGAGTGTGTGAGAGTGTGTGTGCACATACAAAGACTATGAAGCTGGTATAAACACTAAGCATAAAACTAACTCTTCTATGTTATCTCTGATAATAATAATTGTCAAAAAGCAATGGTTCCCTCTGTGTCATCTGTAACACACACATTTTATAGGCATTGTTTAATTTAATACTTAGAGCAAACATATGAGGTAGGAACTATTCTTATTCCCATTTTACATTGAGAAATCTGAGTCTTAGAGATGTTAAATAACTTTTCCCAGGTCACAGAGCTAGTAAATAACAGAATGAGGCCTGGAATTCAAGAGCCTTTCTGATTGCAGAGCCTACTGATAATATATAGTGAAATGTACGATGAATATAATGTATGATAACAGTGACATAGATCTATCACTATGGGGGTCAGTAGGCAGATGAACCCTGGGACCCAAATGATAGCATCAGATTAAAAAGGCCTTAGACTTCAGTCATTCTGTTGCAACTCCTTCATATTATTACTGAAAACTCTGAGGCTCAGAAAGTGCAAAGGACTTGCTCAAATATAAGCAAAGATTTTTTTTTCATTTTTATTCAATTTTAGTCATGCATCACATGATGATGTTTCAGTCAACAATGGACCACATATACGATGGGGGTCCCATAAGATCAGTACTAGACAGCCTAGGTGTATAGTAGGCTATGCCATCCGGGTTTGTATAAGTAAACTCTGTGATGTTCACACAACAACGAAATTGTCTATGACACATTTCTCAGAGTATATCCCCGTCATTACGTGGCCATATATGACTGCATATATGGTTAAGATTGAGACTCAAAAGTGTTCTGATGCCCTGAGCACACATCCATTGTGCTATGGATGGAGGCAGCCAAAATTTGAGTCAAAATATGCTCTAAGCAATATGTTCTCTCTTCAGAAATTCTATGGCTTTTTTTTTTGAGGGAATTTTGTTCTTGATGTCTTCTCTTATCTTCTTGTGGTGAAACGGCTGGCTTAGCAGTAGAGTGGGAAGAATCCACGCTGGCCCATAGGGACCAAGAGAAGGCTTACAGTTCTGAAAAGGGAGCTGGGAGGAAAAATGAAGAGGGACGTGTGACTGACTGTACAGTGAGCTAGGTGAGCGGGTCTGTTAGATGAGACTTGGGCAAAGGTGTCCCTTGTTGCCAGAAAGGCTACCTTTCTAGGAAGTGTAAGAGCAGAACAAGCCACCAGCACTCACGGCTCTGTACTGGACAGCCAGTGGTGGAAAGCAAAAGGAATACTCTGCTTCTAGTCTTAGGAACATTTTAGTAGAACTAACACAGACAAGATCTTGGAGAGACCTTGGTTCTAGTCACAGCTCTGAACTGGGGCCTTAGTTTGGTCATCAATAAAACATGGGTACTGAACTACTAGATCTTTTCTTTTAAAATCTATACTCTGTAATGAAGATTTTTAAGCTCCCTGGCAGGCAGAGGGTATAGCAAGAGGTATTTCCAAATAACTGACAGGTACTTTGCTATTCTTTCCCCAGCATGTCAGCCACCTCCAGAAATCGCACATGGTAAACACACCCTAAGCAACAAAGGACAGTGTTTCCCCTGGGCAGGGGGTGTGACCTACAGCTATGAGCCTGGCTATGATCTCACAGGGGCTGCTTCTCTGCGCTGTACGCCCCAGGGGGACTAGAGCCCTGCCACCCCAACATGTGCAGGTGCCTACACTCTCATCTGGGTCATAATCAATGATCTCTTTGTCCCTCACATGGCAGTCTTACTTCTTTTTTTCCATCCTAGTGAAATCATGTGCTGAATTCCTGGACCAATGCCCTAATGGTCGTGTGCTCTTTCCATTTCATCTCCAGCTTGGACAAAAATGTCCTTCATTTGTGAGGAGGGGTGAGTGTGACCTGGGATAGAGACCAGGGACTCAGTGCTGGATAGTGACTCTCTTGGGTTCAGAGATTAATCCAAAAAGTGGGGCTGACCTGTGGAAAAAAAGTACCCAGGGAGATTAACTTCTGGGTAGTTTTGAAATAAGGGTGAGGACTCAGTGGCACGCCTATTATAAGATTTTTAAAAATGGCACATATAATTCAATGTTGAGTACAAACGTAAATATAGACACTGATCTTGAATTCATGGTTAGAACTTGAAGTAATTGGGTAAAGAGTTGTTTGGAGGCAAGAAAATATAATTTTTTGATAAATTTCCTAGTAAAAAGTTTGATATATAAGACAAAAATTGTTTGCAATATGATAAAAGTCAGGCAAGCATTGTTTCGGGAAACTTAAAACCAATCAATAGTGGAATTTGTAACAGTGTATGGATAAGTATTTTTAATCGAATCGTATATCTTCACATCAGTAATGTCTTTGACACTGGGATCTAATGGGCGATGTTATTGTTTCAGGTAGTGTTATTAGATGTTTATGTGGATCTACTACTCCTGGTGGTCTGTACTATATGTCTGCGGGAGGGACGAAGATTGGGCAATATGGCAGTTATTTTTAATAATTTCCAAGGAATCTTTGGCATTTACAAGCCTACCCCCCAACAGTGATCAGCAGATTTCAGAAGGACTACAGGAGCCATGAATAAGCTGGGCCTTTCAGGGTGGCAAAGACTCCTCCCCTCATCCCTCTTTTTCCTAGCACATCTGGTCCAGTATGAGCCTGTGAGCCTCTTTCTGGTCGTTACAAATGTCCTGGCAAGAAGAACACTGCCGTTATCTTTCCAGATGTTCTCTGCTTTGCTCACCCAGATCTAGAGCTGTTCTTCCTCACAACCGACTAATGAGAATAAAGTGGGATGTCAGAGGGCTGTTAGTGAGAGATGTGTGTGGGTATAGGGTACAGGAAGGAGTACAGCCTGTGTTCGGTGACCTCTGTAGGTGACACTGGGCTATGATGTCTGTACGACTGTTAAGTGTACAAGTTCTGATTGCTTTGCCCATCATAGGATACTGTGATTCTGTAGAAGAATCTGGCTTCTGAGATTCTGCCAGCTACTGAATTCAGGTCCCTAATGAAGTGAGATATTTAGCTGGGCCTGAACCTAAGAATCAAATGGTATTTAGGGTGAAGTGAGAAGGCTGAGCATCTATCAGTGATGAGATGAAGGGAGAGATGGGAATTGCCCACCCATTTATACTCCTTATTCTTTAGGTTCTGATTAAAAGGCAGTTCTGCTAGTCACTGCGTCTTGGTTGGAATGAAAAGCCTTTGGAGCAGCAGTGTTCCTTTGTGTGAATGTGAGTAGAAGGAACAACTATCCAGGCTGTATATTTCCCTTGGTTTTTTTTTCCAGTGTATTTTGCCTCGTGGAATCACCTGCTGTCTGTATCTTTATTTAACTAAATCACTGAAAAAAAACTTCATGTTGGAAGAATTCCAACAGGGTGTTGTAGGTCTTATATATCATGTGTTTATGTTACTAATCTGTAAGTCACTAGTTTAATGCCAGTGTTGAAATCTGTAGGGAATATGTGGGGAGGAACTACATGACATAAAAATACACCAAAATTTATTTATTAATTTATTTTTTAGTTTTCCCATCAAAGAATAACCTCTGTGGGGGATCAGAAATGGCCACCTCAAAATGTGTCTCTTTGGCTTATTTTTTTTTTTTTCTTGTGAGGAAGATCAGCCCTGAGCTAACATCCACGCTAATCCTCCTCTTTTTGCTGAGGAAGACCGGCTCTGAGCTAACATCTATTGCCAATCCTCCTCCTTTTTTTTTCCTCCCCAAAGCTCCAGTAGATAGTTGTATGTCATAGTTGCACATCCTTCTAGTTGCTGTATGTGGGACGTGGCCTCAGCATGGCCAGAGAAGCAGTGCATCGGTGCGTGCCCAGGATCTGAACCCCGGGCCGCCAGTAGCGGAGCGAGTGCACTTAACTGCTAAGCCGTGGGGCCGGCCCACTTTGGCTTATTTTTAAGAACAAAAGACTCTGAAAGAAATTGTGACCTCCCCTGCTAACTGCCTGAAAGAATTTAAGATAGAAGGCCTGTTCCAGGAAGGAGCTAATACGAGAAGATAACATTGTCTACAGATGGCCCAACAAACACTTGTTTAACAAACATTTGCATTTCCATCTCCATATAAACTGTCTTCTGCTCCTTTGAATCCCCAAACCAGTACTCCTAACATCCTCCTTTATCTTTAGCTGAAAATGGTATTTAAGGTGGCGACCTCAGCCATTCCGGCAAGTTGCTCAGTTTTCCTGGGTTTCTCCCATGTATACATGTTATAAAGCTTTGTTTAATTTTCTCCTGTCATTCTGTCTCATATCGATTTAATATGTAAGCCAGCCAGCCAGAAGAACCTAGAGGGTAGAGGAATTGTCTTCCTCCCTTACAGTTTGGCAACTTGGATGGGAAAAACTTCCCTGGCTGGACGCTGCTCACTCCTGGACTACTGCAACTGAGAGATCCTGGACCCCTGACAGGAGCTGGCAGGAGGTAAGAGTTCTTACACATCAGTCTACCAGATCTCTACCTGTAGGGTCCAATGGAAGTGAGAGTGGTGAGTTTTATGTCCTTTTCTAAATTTATATCAGCAGGAGAAAATATTGGTGAAGCTAGCTTCTTGGACTCAGCAACTCTAGGACATCTGGTTTGAGTACTCATTGGTTTATTGATCCATTTCCTCCCAGAGATGGTCACTATTTTCCCTTGTTCTGTCTTTTGTGGTGTTTGTCATAAAAAGGAAAAACCATAGGGTAAGACGCAGGCATCTATAAGCGTGTTGTCTAGGAATACGCGTGTGACGTCAAACCTGTTGCTAAGGGCATCTTGGAAGCCAAAAAGCCTGCAAATTTGGTAGGCATGGGTTGAGCAGTTAAGAGCTATTAAGGTGCTCGCCACTTCAAAAAGACTCCCATGGGGGCCGGCCCCGTGGCTTAGCGGTTGCGTGCGCGTGCTCCACTGCTGGCAGCCCGGGTTCGGATCCCAGGTGCGCACTGACGCATCGCTTCTCTGGCCACACTGAGGCCGCGTCCCACATACAGCAACTAGAAGGATGTGCAGCTATGACATACAACTATCTACCGGGGCTTTGGAGGAAAAAAAAATAAATAAAATTATAAAAAAAAGAAGACTCCCATGATAGGATAAGGTGGGTCACGGAATGGGGTATATGATACAGGACCCCTGCCAACTTCAAGAAAATGTCTGTGCAATGATGAGGTACTCTGTAAAGCACACACAATCCCTAACCTGGCAGCACCTCCCTCCTAGGTAGTAATCTGGCTGCAAGAGACCCAAGGTTTAGCTGAAGCTGTTAACGTGATGAGGTTTTATGTTTTGTCTTGTTCTATGTCTTGAGAGCTTGGCTTTGTGACTTTCCTGGTCCCTGCCATCCGGTGGATGCAAGTACCAGTGTACATCTTGGCAGCCAGTCAAATAGACTGAGGTTCTGAGATGCACTATCTTTGTCTGGCTGTGTCAGCTCACAGGGGAGTTTGTCATTAGGGTCCCAACTGCTTTCATGAGGCGCCTTTGTAGTCTCAACCTTCCTTGCTTGTTGTGCAATGATGGTCTTTGCTTTCTTAGACTATTTTTGGGAGTGAATTTTCTGGATCTCTTTTGGGGACACCTCTTGTGTCCATGGTTAAGCTGATTGGTTTGAGTTGCTATTAAGATCCTACTAGTCAGTGTGGCCAGACAATAGGTCATGTAAATTGGAAAAACTTCTAAATCAGAAAAAATTTTTGAGAGCTCTCATCATAATTGTTTTATTGGTACCTATGAAAAGACCAAATTAAAACAGAAATACAAAAAAGAATTACTAACCTTAAGACCCTGACTCAGGCTACAATTAAATTGAAAAAAAAAAGTAAAAGTATAAATGTTGATAAGATTATAAAGGTTGGAATGTTTGAGCAAATTTTATCAAAAAAGGTTATATCAACTTTGCCTGCTGTTTTGAAAATAGACCTTATATCTGACTGGGAATGCTTCCCATATTCGATATTATAAGACCGAGACCTATTGATAAGGCCCCAATGAAAGCTATGATTAGAGGTATAAGTGTTGATGGAATTAAGTGATATCATTTCTTTTTGCATGACTGCATTATAAATTGTATTGTGGGGATAGACATTGTGTCTCATTGGGGAACATTTCACCTGCCTGAGTGTAAGACAGTAAATAAATCTGCCCTTTATGTTAATTAGACATACTAAAGGGAAGTCAGTAGGGTTGTCTGAGCCTGCATTGTATGACATAAAAACTAGAGGCCAGAGGCCGGCTTGGTTGTGTAGTGGTTCAGTTCACGTGCTCTGCTTCAGCGACCTGGGGTTTGCAGGTTTGGATCCCAGGTGCAGACCGATGCACCGCTTATCAAGCCATGCTGTGGCAGGTGTCACACATATTAAGTAGGGGAAGATGGGCACGGATGTTAGCCCAGGGCCAATTTTCTTCAGCAAAAAAGAGGAGGATTGGCAACAGATGTTAGCTCAGGGCTAATCATCCTCACCAAAAAACAAACCTAAATTAGAAGCTAATATCAGGTGCTAATAAAAAGGATAATAAAAACCCCCAAAGGTAAATTGGTCTAGGGTTAAATTGTACACTTAGAAAAAAAGGCCTTTGTTAAATGCTTTGTATAGACTTTTAAAATGATGTGATACATTGTGCTGAAGTTTTAGAGCATAAAAATCTTTTATTCACCTCTTAAGTTAAAAATTTCCCTGATACACAGAAGCAATTGGAAAACTGTAGCTGGAAGGGTAGATCAACCTCTTTTTGTCATTCAGACTGTAATCCAGTTCTTTGGGGAACTGAAAGCAATCG